GGAGCTACGACTGGGGTCTTTGATATAGCAATGGGGAACTTCAAGCTAAAAAACTCACCAGTACTACCAACCACTGGAAACGTCTCTGTAGCGACCGAACCAACTTCCTGCTGTAAATCAAGTGTAAGGTCTGGCTGCCGAGATAGACAGTCAGTTGGGTTAAGACTTCCCTTTTTGTATTCAATAGTGTAGTCTAAGTCCTGGAGTTCAATGGCCCAATTATTTAATTTCGAATTGCTTGATTTCTTTGTTTGAAGCCATTGTAAGGGTTTGTGATCCGTAATTGCCTTGAAATGTTTGTTTTGAAGAAACTGTTTATATTCTCTAACTCCCTCAACCATTGCTAAGCATTCCTTTTCTGTTGTACCATAGTTAAGCTCTGCTTTACGTAAGGAACGAGACCCATAAGCAATTGCATGCTCACGGCCATCATCACTAATTTGACTTAGCATATAACCAATTGCAAAATCTGAGGCAGCTGTCGCAAGAGCCTCCTTCAACTCAACAAATGCTTTCTCACAGGAATCTGACCATACAAACTTGTTTGCTTTACTAGTGAGAGCTGATAAGGGAGCAGCAATATGTGCATAATTCTTAACAAATTTCCTATAGTAGTTGCATAGCCCAAGAAAGCTTTTAACACCCGTGTGGTTTTTTGGTCTCGCGATTTTCTGAACCATTTCAATTTTGGATTTATCAACTTCAATACCATCTTTGGATAAAACATGACCCAGGAAGCAAATCTTTTTGACTGCAAATTTACATTTTGAAGGATTGAGTGCTAAATTCGCTGCTTTTAGTCTCTTAAATACAAGATCTAGATGTTCCAAATGTTCATCGAAATTCTTGCTAAAAATGATCACGTCATCAATGTACACCAAGGCAATTCGCCAATTTAAATTTTTGAGAATCCTTGACATGGCAGCTTGATACGCGGACGTTGCGTTTCGAACCCCAAACGGAAGTCGTGTGAATTGAAAGTGGCCGTGATGGGTAACAAATGCAGTTTTGTGCTTTGTCTTTTCATCTAATTTCACTTGCCAGTAACCACTTTTGACATCTATGGAGCTAAAAATTTGAGCATTGGAGTCAGCTATGGTTTCAAACACGTCTGACAGTCTGGGTAGGGGAAAGTGTTTGGGAGTGGTCACTGCATTTAGTTTCCTGTAGTCTACTGCAAACCTAAATGAGCCATCCTTCTTTTTAACGAGAACCACTGGGCTGGCCCAAGGACTTGAAGATTCTTCTATAATACCATACTTAAGCATATCATCTACCTGACTTTCAATTTCCCTTCTCTTATCTGGAGTTTGATTGTAATGCCTTTGCCTTTGGGGTACAGCGTCCCCTGTGTCTATTTCATAAGCTTCAACATTTGACTTTCCTAATTCGGCTGTGCAAGTAGCAAAAGAACTTCTATGCTTACCAACAAAAACCATCAATTTCCTTTTCTGCTCTTCACACAAATCAGAGTCAGACACATCAATGCCCATGTCTTCAGCTATCTTAACATAATCGTCATCTGAAGGGCATTCAGTGGGAAGAAGAGGGATAGTGACATTGGCATCAGTATCAGCTGGGGAATCAAAGTGAGAGATATTGTTTGCCTGAATAGGTAGAGCCTTGGCCAGGACCTTATCTTTGGGTATATGGATGGGACTATCAGAAGGATTGAAAATTCGACAGGCTGCACCAGACTTGGACGCATTCACAATACACTTAGCAAGGAGGTAGTTGGAGTTGACAGGTTCGAGAAGCAAGAGTTTGGAGGTAGAAAGATTAGTGCATGCAATTTTGACAGGGATTAGACTTTCTGACATAGGGTCTAGTGTTACAGATTTGGATGAACGAGCCAGACCAAGCCACTGGGGTTTCGTGATTGAACATACGTTAGTTTTATTGAAAATGATTTTGCTGTTCAAAGTGTCAACTGTAGCGCCAAATTTAGTGAGGAAATCCATGCCTAGAATTACTTTCCTTGGGAGGTATGGAAAGACGTAAAATTTGTGGGCAAATGTTTTGTTACCAATTCGAAATGAAATGTTAATGCAGTGATCAATGGGAATTAAATCTCCGCCTACTCCTGAAACAGCTTTTAAGTCGGACTGTTCGAAATTCAGTTGGTGTTTATGTTTTAGTCTTGAAATGGTATCTCTAGAAATGCAAGAAATAGAGGCACCTGTGTCAACCATTGCCTTCAGAGAAAAATTTTCAAAGTGTATTAATACTAGATTATGATCCAGTGGGTCAGAGGATTGGATTGAACAAATGGATGGGTCAGTTTGGGAGGGTGGGTTTGGAAAACTTGTATCGTGCACGTGTCCCTATTGTTCTATTACTGACCTGCAGGCAGGTGCTATATGACCAAACTTGTTGCATTTATAACATCTTTTATCTTTTGCATAGCATCGATCAAATAATTGACAGTTCCACTTACCACATCTGTAGCATCCCCTGCTTTGCTCCTGGCTGCTGTTTCTGCTCCTAAAGCTCTCCCTTCTGTCTGTCCTCTGTGCTGTCCTATTTTCCCTATTGTTCTGGAAATGGACATTCTTTTTATGATGAGTTTGAACACTGTTGACTTGATTGTTGATAAGGGCTTGCATCTGTGTTACGAGTGTCGCCATGTTTGCCTGAATTGCATCAGAAACAATTTTGTTGACATCAGCTGGTGTTACAGAGGATACTGCCACACTTACTTTTGTTGCAGACTCAGCTCTAACAGCTGTTTCAGTTAAATCCTCCAAAGATGAGGGGTTTTCTAATAAAACAACTTGCTTGATGGAGGGGTTCAACCCATTAATAATGGCATCAATTATTTGATTATTATCTAAATCTAAATCTTTCCCTAGAGAAATTATTTTGTCTATGAAATCTTGTGCTGTTTCACCACCTTGTTTGTGGTTAAAAAATTTTGCTTTTTTATCTCTAGTTTCTGCTGAATTTAAGGCATATCTTTTTAAAAATAGCTCCCTTAACCGTGCATAACTAAGAAGACTTGTATCAATGGTTTTTAACCATAATTTAGCTTTGTCTTGTAACAGAAATTGAAAATTTTGAATTTTCTGCTGTTCAGAGAAGCCTACATAAGTACAGTATTGTTCATATTTTGTTAACCAGTCCCTAGCACTCTCTTCACTCCTGCCTGTAAACGGTATTGGTGTAAGGTGTGGGGGTACAGTGTACATTACCACCGCTGCATTAGCCAATGTAGGTGCTGCTACTGGCATGGCTGCTGGCGCTGTGACTGGCATTGTTGCTGGCACTGCTGCTGCTGCTGGTGCCACCGATCCTGATATTGTCGCCACTGGCGCCGCTGCTACTGGTGCTATTACTGGCGCTGTCGTCACTGGTGCTGACGTCACTGGGGCTGCTAAGGGGGCTCCTAATGGGGCAGCTGTCACAGCAGCTGACGTTGCTGGAATTGCTGTCGTTGATGCTGCTTGAGTTGATGTTGCTGTTGTTGTTGGAGCTGTTGTTGCTGACGTTGTTGCTGAAGCTTCTACTGGAGGAGTTGCTGGGTCTGCCACTTCTGGCCCAGGCATGCTAGAGGAGCTTGCGCCTTCTTGCTGTGTGTGGGATCTAGTAACTCTTCCACCGGGGATCAGGGGACTCGGCATGGCTGCTTAACACCACAGGTTTTCCACCAGTTTCACAGCCAGGAAAAGGACACAACACTTCCTCAGATTTTCTGCCTGTTTATTGAACCTTACTCCCACCAGTATAGCTACAACGCCTACTACTGCTCCTGCTGTTACTGGAGGGCTGTGGAAGACCCTCCATTTATTATGGTCTCCACATAATACCACTATTGAGAACTAAATACAATTTACATAAAACAATTAAAATTCCGGTATAATAATGCCATCAGAAGTAAATGCAGTTCTGTCTTCAACATATAAATATTAATGATAATTTCAGAGCCAGACGTCTGGGGTAGTAAATGGACATACAGCGTCTGGAGTAGTAAATGGACATACAGCATGCCAGAGCTGTAAAGGCTTATTCTTATAACATTGAGTTATGATACGAGCGCGTCCTAATGTTTTTCTCATTGCATTCTTCGTGAGTCCAATTAATCTTCCCCAAAAGCCACCAAACCACGGTGCTCTTTTAGGAATGAATTCCCACGTCACTCTATTTTGACTTAGATATCGACGTACATCTTCATTTTCGAAAAGTTTATTGATTTCATTGGTGGCTGAATGAAAAGTTGTTGCGTTGTCACTAATCATTTTCGTAGGTAGTGATCTCCTGGCAGCGAATCTTCGAAATGCATTTATAAATGAAGATGTAGATAAGTCATTCACAACTTCCAGGTGGACGGCGTGAGTAGCGGAGCAAGTAAATAAACATATGTAGGCTTTCGCTTCACAATTCGTGGACGTTTTGACGTAGAGTGTCCCTGTAAAATCAACTCCAGTGACCGTAAACGGGGGAGCATCGTGAACTCTGAACGTTCGTAGAGGCGGAGCAACCGGAGAAGCATAGGGTCTGCCGATCAAGCGTCTGCATATGACACATTTACGTAGGACGCAGTTGACAGTTTCACGTGCTCTAGGGATCCAAAATCTCTGCCTGATACTTGTTACAGTTGATTGCATGCCGGAATGTAGCGCTCGTTTGTGCACATCAATAATCACTAACAAAGTGAATGGATGTTGCCGTGGTAATAGTATCGGGTGTTTTGCGTCGTAAGTCAAGGGTGCGTTTTGTAAGCGACCTGTAAGTCGTATAATGCCATTACTGTCTAAAAACAAAGAAAGTTGCTTAACAGTATTTGATTTAGATTTTCCTCCTTTCAATGAGTCAAGATCTTGATAGAAAGCTTTCTCTTGAACACACTTGATCCACATTTCTTCTGCATTAACGATTTCTTCTGCAGAAGGTGAGGCGTTTGTAATTACGTAAGATGACGTCTTGTGTATTTTCCCCTTCATAACGGCAACAAATCTGAGCACCAATGCCGTAACGTTTAATAGTTTCGGAAGCGTGCCATGTCAGCCTATGTCGATCACCTTTGAAATGTCTGTTTTCGTTGTGAGCGGCTGATTTCCTCGCATTCTTTGATTGTTGGCTTTGTCGGAAATATCAGTTTCAACGGAATGACCCTGAACTGCGGTCGCAGGGTCAATGACATTTGGATTGTTTTTAAAGAGTTGCTCATTCAACGAATCACTTGGGGTGAGTGGGGCAAACTCTGCCCGCTCCGTTCTCAAATGCATTACAGTACTGTTGTACTCTCCTATGGGCCAATCTCCATGTGCAAGCCAGGCGGGTCCTTCCCACCATATAGTTGCGATTTCTAGTGACGATACGGTCGTACCGCGTGTTATGAGATCGGCCGGGTTGTCATCCGTCGGACAATATCTGTATTCGTTGAACAACGACGGTTTGATTTCGTTGACACGATTTCGGACAAACAACAGTAGGTGTTTGTCGCTTTTAAGCCAGCACAGCACAATTTGGCTGTCTGTCCACAGAGCACATTTCGCAATGTTAATGTTCTCTTTCAGCTGGTCATGAACAAAACTTGTGAGGCGGGTTCCTAGAACGGCTGCCATCATTTCAAGGCGCGGAATAGTGATCGTTTTCACTGGGGCGATGCGCGATTTGGACATAACTAAAGTAGTTTGTTCTCCATTTCGTAGATATACGGCGCATCCATATGCCTTCTCACTGGCGTCGACAAAACAATGTAATTCCATGGGCTGTTGTGACTCCTTGGTGTTTGAAAAATACTGCCGGGTAACTTTCAGCAATGAACATTGTTCAAGATCAGCAGCAATTTCTTTCCACATTTCGCTTAGTTCTGGAGGTAAAGTTTGATCCCAATCGAGTTCCGCTTTCCAGAGTTCTTGCATGAACATTTTACCTCGAACAATAACTGGTGCTAACAGACCTAGCGGGTCGTAAACTCGAGAAATGCGACTAATCACTTCGCGTTTGGTGACTTGGCTGACTGGGATTTCTTCACCGGACTTGTAAGATAACGTATCTTGTTCAGTGTCCCATATCATTCCCAACATCGGTGTATTCTTGTGGTCTGCGTGAGCTACTCCGTCAGTTTCGACTATGTTGCGGAGTTTGGGGTCATTGGTAGCCCACGACTGAAGATTGAATCCTGCAGATGCAAGCATATCATTTGATTCCTCGTACATTTGAATGGCTTGGTTTGAAGTGTCAGTTCCCGTCACAATATTATCCACGTAGATGTCCCGTTTTAGGGCTTTGGCGGTGCCATTCTCGGACATATCCAAATGCAAGCGTACTACGGAATTAAGAATGGCTGGACTGGAAATGCTTCCAAAGAGAACTGACGTAAAGCGGTACACTTCAAATTTACTTTCAGTGTCTTCTGGATCTTCAAGCCACAAAAATTTCGTAAAATCTCGGTCATCTTCGTGCAATCCTATGTTTAAGAATGCTTTTTCAATGTCACTAGTGATCGCGACATTGTGAATTCGAAATCTTAAAAAGATTCCAACAAGGTCATTAAGTAGCTGCGGTCCTTTAAATAGACAGTCATTCAGACTGGGGTCATCAGGTGTGGCCTTTGCGCTGCAGTCGTAAACTATTCGAATTGGTGTTGTAATCGAATCCTTTTTTACAGGGCGGTGAGGCAGGTAATGTCCACTGGAAGTATCGTCATCGCCTACTTTCTCAATAAAGTTGCGTTTCTCTTGATTCCTGATGATAGTGTCATACACGCGTCGTGTTTCTACTGGTAACTTGCGCACGGTATTACGTGTTCGATGACATGCGTTGCGATAATTCGTAGGCAAAGGACTGTGGTCGGTTTTCCACGGCAATTTGGCCACATATTGGTCATCACGTTTTTCAATGTAATTTCTCTGGAAATTCTGAAAATCGGAGGGATCCTGGACAGTTTGTTTATTGTCTTTAATGCCAATGGATTCTAGGTTCCAGAATTTGTCCAGGGTATCGTCTTCTGCGTTGCGCTGTTTCGCCATGACATGAAAAGCGGTGTCGTTTGCTGTGACGTAGTCATCGGAGTGGGCGGGGCCCGAGAGTAAGTATCCAAATTTGGAAGCGACAGCGGTGGGCCCTGGACCTCGCACGATTGTATCTTCAACAAAGTCCCAGTAATGATCGGCACCAATTAGCACAGAGACGAAAAAGGCGATCTGTCATCAGATGGTGTGTGAGCCAGTCTCAAGTTCCTTAAGTGGGACAAATTGCCTGTCCTACGTGTCACTAAATTATGGAGTGGAGCGGAAATTTCAGGAACGACGACTGCGTTAATATCAACAAATTCTTTTGATGTTGTTTTCAAGGAGATTGTGATGATGTCAAAAGTCTGAGGTTGTTTACAGTCCATTCCAAATACAGACAAATTGATCTCCTCAGAATGAGTTGGCTGGAGCTGAAGTTTATGAACAAGCTCTTCTGTAATGAATGATCTGGTCGCTCCTTCGTCGAACAAGACCCCACTAGTTGCCGATAATTGGAAGGGTGTTTGTTTGTTGGAGACCTCCACGATAGCCGTTTTTAACAAGACAACATTCCTTTGATTTTTTGCCCCTTGAGTGAAGGTGCTCGCCGCATGTTCCACAGCAGGCGGTTCCCGCGCTTTCTGAGGGGCGCTTGGTTCACTGTTTTGCTTAGCATGAAGGGCGGTGTGGTGTTTTCCATTGCAACTTCTGCAGCGAAATTTAGACAGGCATTTTCGGCTTGTATGGTTGGGCGTAAGACAGTTAAAGCATAAATTGTCTCTTTTTGCTATTTCAAAGCGTTTTTCCTGTTCCGACACAACTGGGCACGTGATAGAGCTATGTTCATTTTTGCAGAAAGCGCATTTCAATTTTCTTTTCGGCTTGTTCGTCGTTTTCTTCGTGTTACTATTGGTGAAAAACGCAGCAGTGGGTCGGTACGATTTCTCTTGGTTGAACCCGTCTATTTCTCCAGCTTGTAGGGCGTCGATCTCAGACTTAAGTGTAGTGCGCAGATTGGCGATTGACCATTCATTGTTTCCATGCGCTCTTGCGATTTGTCTGCGCGTGTTGGCAGGCAATTTATCTAGAATCATAGGAATCAAGAGTTCTCCATAACTTTGTTCTTCTTTTCCTAAAGAGCTGAGTCCTCTAATGAAAGTCTCGATCCTATCGTAGAAAAATCTCAATGATTTTATATCTTCATCGGGGCGTGGAAGCTCCCAAAGAGCTCTCATGAATGCATTAATGATTTTGTGAGTTTGTCCATACCTTTCTCGAAGAAGTTCCTTCGCATTTTCGTAATTATTAGCCGTAAGCTGTAATCCCGCGATTGTAGAAAACGGTTCGCCGTCCAACTGCGCCCGTAAAAACTGGAATTTCTCGATAGTTGACAGCGTCTCGTTTTCATCTATAGCACTGACGAAGTCGTCGTTGAAAGCGGGCCATTGAAGGAGATTTCCATCAAACCTGGATAGGATGAGTTTGGGGAGCCTGTAATTTCGTTTCATGTTGCTCCGCGGAGGGTCATGACTTGGAGTGGGAGCGTTAGAAATCGAAGGCTCGCTTCGGCGTTCTTCTGACTGTATATTTTCTTTATGTTTTCGAATGCAACGGAGCTTCTCTTTAGCTGAAAACATAAATTCGTCTGCTTCGGCAACGCCGTCTTCCATCTTTTCATCTGAAAGTTTGGACAGAATTCTTTCGTCTAATGTTTTTAGATAGTCCATCTTTTCCTCGATTAGTTCGTACGTTAAGTCCAATGTTTCCACATTTTCTACGGACGGCTCATCAGACATCAAACTTGATGCTCGTTGAAACAGCTTCGTTAGCTGGGCTCGGTTCGCCGACCGGAGTTTTTGATTTCTCTCTGCAGCCATAGTTATCCTGGTCACGGCACCAAAAAATGTCGATATGCGGTTCAGAGAAAAAACGAGAGTTGAAAAAACTACACGTTTATTATCTACAGAGACTTATCAAAAACTACCCACTCAATGAGCAGGGCGTGAATACGGTAATGTGCCAAGCATTTCGACGGGCCCAGTCAATCCGACCACAAAAATTATTTTATAAAATTAATTTTTCTGGGCTCAAACAATTAGTCCATACCTCAAAATCATGGGACAGAATTTTTTTCTTGTTCCGATTGTTCGACCACATCGTCGACAAGACTCGGTAAATTTTCAAGCCAGTGAAATAGATGCTGCATGCCTCGGCCCTTTGTCAATTGTTGTCCTTTCAATAGCTCTCGTCAATGAGGAAGAAACAATTAACTGAAGATCTAATCTGGAAGCATGACGTACCTGTTTTTCCTTTGTCCCCGATGACAATAATAGTGCTTATAGACATACAAATTTTGCTAATTAAGCAGACTTGCCCTCGCTGACTGATTCATCACGCCCGTAACTGGGGGGGGGGGGGGGTTAAAAAAAGGTCTATTCTGGATGAAACCAAATATCGACAGTGGGTAGAATACGTCGTAAACACCTTCATATAGACCATATATCGCGTTTGCTAGCAATAAAAAGTTTGGGAAGAATAAGCAATTTATTTTCAAGTTCGATTGAAATATATATGCAGATGGGGAAACGTTCTTGAAGTCAACACCGCAAGATCTTACATTTACTACAATCGACCGAAAGATCAGCGGGATCGACCGCCCAGACTTCTTGGCGCCAAATACCACGCGCTGTCAAAATCTGACGAACACGTGTCGCTGTTCACCTACATGGATAACTGATTTGTCAACAATAAAAATGACGTCTTCCTTAACTCCATGGGAGCTTCATAGAGAGTTCCACTGGGTATTTACGTTACCTGTGAGTCACTTTCTATTTCCCCAGATGCATGAAATGTTGATAATATTTAGCGTAATCCACGACGAACTCCATTCCTGTGACCCCCCTCCCCAAAATGGGACCGTCTTCATTAACATGTGGTTTGCGCTATGCTGGAGCAGGCCAGCTAAAACCAGTCTCTCATTTCTGCATGTGCTCAATTCTCACGTCAAATTATAAATGCACCTATTTTGTGAAAATTATGGCAAGTAAATGCTTTTTTACCTTCGGGTTGTATCAGTGGGGTTTTCAATATGCACCGTGGTTTGTGCACAGCGGGAGTATATAAGTAAGAAAATCGGAAGAGTGCAAGAAAGATACTGTATGTCTATCGGCACAGGTACGCTCCGTATTTTGCCTTTTCTCAATACGTTTTTATATGACATGCTTTTTAAATAAAATACTTAATAGTAATTTGAAGTTACACTGATTTCCGTTTGAGTACCAGTTGGTATTCTTTGATACGGGTGATTGAATTTTCTTCGGAAGTACGTACGTCTACGCCTCGAGGCTGAGCAAGCCTTGCGGGTTGAAAACAACTGATCTCAGACTGGTAAAAAATTTCAATTCGGTTGATTTCAGTTGTCATATTAAAATTCAAGTAGGGCGTACGTAAATCACATAACTAGTTTAAGTCCACTAAAGCTACCGGTTTCAAATATAAGTGATCGGCCTTTGTTTACAACACCTGTCTTCGNGGTCTGGAGTAGTAAATGGACATACAGCATGCCAGAGCTGTAAAGGCTTATTCTTATAACATTGAGTTATGATAGTATCAATATACAGGATGAATCTGGAAATTGGCTTGATGGGATCATTTTTCTTGAATTTATGTGCTTTTTGTTTTATTTTTCAACATATAGTATATGGCATAAAGATAACACCTTTCATAAAAACTTAAAGGACTGACAAATGTGACTTAGATACAGGTTGAATATCAAAACCAGCTTCATCAGAGTTTTTTTTTAAAAGTGATGCGGTTTTTTTTTTTTCAGTATGTATTATTCTTATTCTTCAAACTTTCAGGACTGAAAAATAAGACTTAGATACAACTGGCATTTTAAAACCAGTCTGATCGTATACCAGTACTTTTTTTGTTGTTGTAATTAAAGGAGTTTGTGTGTATGTGTGTGGAAAATTTAATTTTTTTTTCATCATGGTAATTTCAAAGTATGCCTTTGAACTTCAATGGGCCTAAAGACTTTTGCTAGTCTCATTTCTAAATACCTATCATCTGCAGTACAACATTGAAATTGGTGGTGATTATAAGCATTATGTATGTAGTATTGCATCAAACTTGAAGAAAACCCTATTTTGGGCACTGTCGCAGTAATGACAATTTAAAGTAAACCAGATACTTACAATTCTCAAACCTACAGAAAAGAATGGTAGGACTGAAATACAGCTTGTGACCATAAATACAATAAAAAGAAAACGGTGTGACTTATTTTGGAACTTATAAAAAAGATACATAGAATTGATGTTTGTTTTATTTTGTTTGTTGCCCCAGTTATGCTTTACAATGTTTAACTTTAATTACTGTTATGATGTTTTTAGACATCCCCCGTCCCAATACAATACAATATAGTTTATTTCATGTCAGAAAGAATAAATGTACAAACATTAGCTGAGTAGCTATTCACCGACAGAATAAATTAAATAATGATATAGTGTTTACTACTATTGTTTCTAACTACTTCTGTTGATTGAAATTACAACAGGAAAATAAGGCCTATAGCAGCTGCCATAGTATGATACATTATTATAGTGGGTAATTAATTAAGTTTACATTGAGACATCATCATTTCAGTGCAAATTTATCATTTACTGTATACGTTGCAGAGATTACACTTGCACTTAGGTCCTTCCCATTTTTTAATCATTGTTTTCACTTCATTCAGACTAACACAAGCTTTTGGGTATTTTGTGGCTTTGAGGTTAAGCATGTTTTTGAAGTGGTTGTGACAATTTCCTTGATAAGTTTAAAACAAGTTTTATTTTTTGTTGTGTCACAATAAAGACTTCTCTGACATCTATTAATAGTAAATTAAAGTATATACATTAGGAGTGCATGCTGAGCTAGATGTAATTGGATAAAAAGTTTGCTGTTATAATATAAAGAGAAGGGGAGGTGGTGAACAATGCTAATTGAAAGCTAATTAACATTTGATAGCATCTCTGTCATTCCAGAAGAAAGGGTACAATTCCAAAATGAGAAATGCAGAAATATGAACTTTGCAAAACTGGAAAACTTTTCACAATATTTTAATGAAGGGTAGCAGAAGAATTTTAACCCACTGTTGTCCGGTCGTATTACTTAATTATAGTCATCTCCGGTCGTATTACTAGTCATCTTTGTTTTGTTATGCAAATGATTTGCTCAGTATATATATGGCCAGCAGTAGTTCTCGGCATGGCCACGTTTGTAATTGACGAGCAGAAGGCTCAGGTCGCCAAGTCCCAAGATTTAGTGTAGTTACTTCGGCATAATCTGTGGATCACCATCGGGCGGGAAAAGCCACATTTCTTTGTATGTATTGTTAACCATTTGCACAATGTATATGTTAAAGCATAAGTCGTTTTGTCTAGCCAAATTTATAGTATGCACAACATTTCCCATTTCTTATACTTAATTCATTATTTCTTTTTATATTTGTATTCAGTTTATATTATATTTGTGTGTTTTTATATTATCAGTTTGGTGTTTTTATTTCATTATTTTGTTATTTTTAGTTTCACCATGTCCATGTCAGTGTGTGCGTGAATAAAGGTGTGAACATTTTCCTGTTGTTTGTGTTCGTTTGACGTGGGATCCACAACACCCACACCATTACTGTGTAACTGAGGATTAGCTTCACTGATTAATACACTAGTACATGTATAAACATTGTTTTCCATTAGGTATGAAATGGCAGGTTGACAGGCATGACATGGAAGCCAATAATATACTGCAGCTGTCATTACTGGTTTCAACCTGGCAGTTAAAAACAGTATCAATAAGATAAGATAAAATAATAATTTACGAAATAAATAAAAATACAAATGTATAAAATTGGGAATCTTTTGCCCTGTAAAAGTCCCATTATCCTAAAAATGTATGCCAAAAGTTTTACCTTCATAGTGTCATTTATGACCTTCCAGATTAGATTCCTAAATTGGACTTTATAATTGGTACATTTCAACTAACTTTCTGCTGTTTTCTTTCAATCCAGATAAGTTACAGTTGGATACCTTGTATAATGTATAACAATGAAGTACCTTGTATTACTTTTGACTAGGACAGTAGTATTTCAGTTTTTAGATAAACAGGAATTAAGATGAACCACTATATGAAGAATTTGTAGTATTCTAATGGGTAGATTGTGAGTTATTGCAGAGCATGAATCATGGAAACCAGTTCAGAATGTCTCAGTATTGTCTGCAGATCACCATTCTGTACTTGTCTTCCAACATATGGTATCAGTGCACGTACTATTAACTTTCTACAAAATAAAGTTTATTTAACAATTAAGATATATTGGTTTGTATGGTCAGTCTTCAGTTGTCCCTTGTCAGACATGCTGAAACTGTCGGTCCCATCGGTCATGACCAGGAAAATTTGTCTGGACCAGTAGAAAATTTGACTTGGTCGGTCCAAAGGACTGACAAGAGTTTTAAGAACCGCAATTTTGAATTTACAGTCATCTTTCGACATACTTCACTAATAAAATTATATAAAACCCAAAGCGTTTTTTCCCTTCCATTTCATACCTATCACATTAACAAACAAAGTAAGCTACCCTAATCGTACTGGTAGCATCTGTCTCAAAGGAATAGAGTGATTTTCAGTCCAACAAAAATCCATTCAGTCCGTCAAATTTTTCATTACTGACGGTCCAAATGTCTGGCCATTTTGAAAAGTTTTCAGCACGTCTGCCTTGTGGATAATTAATACTAGCTGCAAACTAATAACTTAGAATTTCTTAAATGCCATATTCAGTAATGTTCCAAAATTGACTTACAATAGGACTACTAGTAAATTACAGCTTGAATTAGAAAATAAGCTGCATTGGATTCTTTTTCTGGAAGTGCCCACTAATGCAGTTTTTTGTTGAATTTTCATTTTTCACATATTGGCATTTTCAGTGTGGGACTTGGAACTCTCAGAGGCATGAAGCTGTATGGTAGTTACACTTAGAACTCTCAGAGGCATGAAGCTGTATGGTAGTTACACTTAGAACTCTCAGAGGCATGAAGCTGTATGGTAGTTACACTCTCTCAATGTCCAAGTAGATAATTAAAAATTGGTAATGATTATGCTGTTAATCATTATATGATATTGCAAGGAAATTGTCAACAACAACAAGGAAAGCTGTTACTTTCTAACTTACAAGAATGATTCTTACAACTGATATACAGCTCAAATTGGAAAACCAGCTTGATTGGAATTTTTCTTGTCTGAAACTTTCATTTTTCTCATTCTGGCATATTTCAGTTTGTGAATTTGCATTTTCATGGGCATTATGCCAGCTACATATTCCTAACATCTATAACCTTTTTATGCATCATTTTCTGCTTTTTATGTACAGACACAGTTTTGTCTGTACATACAGCCGTCACCTGTATCTGCCGTTGCCGTCATCGTTGTTGTCGCCACGGTCGCTATCGTTGCCCTGCACTTTCAGTGATAACATGATAAGTAAAATACAGATTTACCTTTTGGCTTCAAACTTACAGAACTGATGACTATTCATAAAATGCAGGTCAGCATGATGGGCCATTTTTTTCAAAAGTTATGCTGTTTTTTTTGTTTTTTTTCCAGCATATATGCAGCACTGAAAACTGTTAGGCCTTTTCTTTTGAAACTGTATATTTATCAGCTTTGCTCTGTAGTTAGGATTCCCCATAGGGGAATACTATTGTTTTTGGTATTCTTATTCTTCTTCTTATTATTATTTTTCGTCAAAAAATTTCTTTCTAAAATTCTGAAAAAATTCATAGTGATAGCCTATGAAAAGTTATTCCGGTCCACCCAATTTTTTGACCTTAACCTACTTTTCAAGGTCACAGAGCCTTTTAAAGTGGAATTTTTGCAAATTTCAAAATGCAATATCTCCTAGAATTTTCAACATTTTGACAAATTCTTTCATAGGTGAGGTCACACAATGATTCTTTATCATATGACCCAATTTTAGGAAAAGTAGGTCAGGTCAAGGTCAACTTATTGCAAAATATGCTCCAGGAGGTTGACACTCGACAGGGGGTAAACCAGATGTCACAAAGCCACAAGGACGATGTAAAAAGTTGCCCTAGATATCTATCTAGTGCAGTCGCTAATAATATTGACAATTGACTGATTAGTTTTTTTAATATAGATTTTTGAATATTAATAATTTCACAGAAATAGCGACTTTGTCAATTTCTCCATGAAATCCTGATTTTTTGTGATAACATGCTATAGTAAACTACCCCAAACATATATCCAACACCCCAAAATCAAATGTTAAATTTGACCTTGACCCTCATTTTCAAGGTCATTTGGCTATTTCATGGAGAAATATTGAAGAGGGCTAAAAGTGATGTTTTGTTGACCCCCCCCCACCCCCAATTTGCACATGCCCTTTTAGAATACATGGTCAAATTTAACCCATGACCTTCACATGACCTTGTAAGAGCATTTCCACACCTATTTTGCAGGGGAATCCTCGGCCACTGGCTTTAGCCAGTTGCAGTCTAGTTTTAATTATTTTCTTTCAAATGACAAATGCAAGTAGGTTTTAATTGTTTTATTTCTTTGAATTTTAGTGTATGGAAAAGGATGTGTTACTGGATATATTGTTAAAAAAGGAGAAGATTGACTTAGAGAACTGATGTGATACCCTGTAAGATGAGCTATCCAGTAAGATGGCAGTTTCATCCAGTCACCCCATACTACAGTACTGTTATCTGATGTGCTCTACAAAGTGTGGCTGCCCAAACCATCTCAGAGCTTTTAACCACTGTATAACCTGTAGAATAGGTCAAGGTCATGAGGGAAGACAGGTAAGAAAATCATTTTGGTCACTTTACCACCTTATAATACCAGATAGAACTTTGCCTTATATTTGGTATTTCTTGTTGTTGGAAATTTATTGAGAATTTAAACAACTGCAAGTGCTTATGTATTATGGGAAGACATTGAACATTGTGACATCAACAAATGCTGGTGTTTTATGCGCATTCGGAACTACTTGGGTTGTCTCGCACACTCCACAATAACCTCGGACATGATGGGATGGCATCCATAGCATGCTTTGAATATTGGAAAAGGAACTACTTTCAGTCCCATGCCCAAATGACACATGCGAAGACTAGTCGCAGTTTAGGATCAGGTTTGGATAGCTCAGAGACAATGTGCAATTTCATTTTATCTGATTAGTTTTTACAATACTGCCCAAAAATTGGATTTTAGGGAACTTGTCCCTCTGGTGTATAGGCCCTGGTTGAGTGAAAAGGCAGTTCCAGCAGAGAAATGTACCAATTTGATACATATTCCTACACTTATCTTGTCCGAGGTTTGTATGGAGCTTGTGGAGTCAGCCGAGGATTGCCAATTGGTATATGGGAAGACACTGAACATTGTGACATCAACAATTGCAGTTGTATTATGGGAAGACATTGAACATTGTGACATCGACAATTGCAGTTGTATTATGGGAATACATTGAACATTGTGACATCAACAATTGCTGTTGTATTATGGGAATACATTGAACATTGTGACATCAACAATTGCTGTTGTATTATGGGAATTAAACATTGAAGGGCAGAAACCACTAAATGGACCAATCACCAACTGTTTTAGACAAATGTAGTTCAGTGAGAGAAAGTTAATTGATGCTTTTTACCTATTTTTCCTGGCATTTCTTGTGTGTTCCTATGGTAAATTTTGGTGTCAACTAGCAGGCTAGGGTGTAAAATATTGCCATTTTTTTTTCAGAGCCAGGCATAGTTGTGGTGCAGTCCTGAGACCTCTGGTGGAGGGAGCTACTGTGAGCGGTGCAGTGGTTTGTTTACAAACAGAGGGGTGCACATGTTCAAGTAATGCCGGTAAAAAAGTTTACTTGATGACAGTATATTTTTGTGCCATTGGGAGTTATGTCAGTGTGTCTGCTGTCCATGGGGATGTGAAATGTTTCACCCATTTATTTTCTTCATGTAGTTTTGCAGGCATTTCTTAGTATGACCATCAATGGGAAATTATTTGTTGTTTCTGTCCTGAAGGGGGAAAAATGACATTTGTTCACCTTTGGCTTAGTTTCTATATTTAAAGCAGCACAGGCTATAAAAGGGTGTCTTGCATTATTTCATTCAAAAAATGGCTATAAATCATCAATTTTTTTATCAAATAAATGGAAAATTACACAGAATTTCTTTATTTATTTATTTTTACATTTACTTCATTTCTAGATTTCTCAATTATATTTTTAAGTTTTAAGTAGAAGAAAGACCAACAATCCCTTGTATATTTCACAACCAGTTTATTACAGAGTAGTATCTTGAAATCATACATTTTCTTTTAATTACATGCTCTCTTTGAATAACTGTGATCAGGAAATACAAGTTTTGGCATAGATATACATTTTCTATAGTCATAACTTTTCAATGCTTTAGATCTGTCATACTTTATGTAGCAGTTAAGGATTCTCCTTGTAGCTCTTAACTTGATTGCAAGTGTCTTATTGTGATTCACTCTCATTTTCATCTGTTTTTCATCTTTCTCCAGATATTTAATGACTGAGGAGTTTGCACAATACCAACAGAGGCCATCTTACTCAAACTGGATAGTTTAAGTCCATTATTCTATAAGTGGACTGCACTGTTAATCCTTCCTGCAAAGTTCCGAGAAAAGGTGACATCTTTATTATTAGTTTTCTGAAATGTCCGGGTCAAAGACTCCACTTTTTGTGTGTTGGTATTGATTAAGTTTTGTTGATTTAATTGCCCTTGGGCCCAGTCTATAATTTAGGCACTGTCTCAAAATTTGCATGTTTTCAGTGTTGCTAAAGTCTAGTTTGCCTTTCTCAGGGAAAATAGTTTCTGAGTCATTACATACATAAGAGTACTTTAAACTGTTTTGACAATCACCACTGTAACAACTAATTATAGAGTCAATTACATAACTCAGTGCTCTTTTAATCAACTCTATGTCCCCATGATTTGCTCTAAAGCAAGCATCAAATTCAGAATAGCAGCACATTGCTATGCACTGAGCAAAGCATTTTTGCATTTTGTCTCTAGTGTTTTTTGTTTTTGCTGGAAACACTTGACCATAAAATGGTGCTTTTTCTATTTGTTTTTTCAAAGCTTTGGTGAAGTGTCGTGTGTCCTGAAGACTTTCAACATTGTCACATGCAGAGTGGGATTGACTGTCCCCATCAGTAGTTAAGGTGCCAACTGTGACCTCTCCAGAAATATCCTCAAGGATCTGCTGCATGGCGCATTGTTTGTCCCCAATACTATTCTCTTCTTGTAGATTGGTTGTACAGACTCCACTGTGATCTGGACAAGAGACATCTTCTCCTCTACTTCTGAGCGGATGAGCAGTACTGGGGAAGCGCTTACACTCGCCAATTTAGCCAAATGCTAAAACTGACTGAAATTGGCTAAAGAAAAAGGGCTTGATTTGACATGTTTTAGCCAAATTATAACCATTTTGATAACAAATTAACAAAAATGTGGTGATATGGCTAAGCGAAAAAAATTGCTAGCGCTACCCCAGCAGTATGACAGAGCTTGTCACTAATGTAAACACCAATAATGTCCTTCTGGCTTGTCACATTCTCTGCCACAGTGTACACAGTCTGAGTGGCTGGCTGGTATGGTGTTTTGTTCCCTCTGCTGAACAGGCTATTATGGTATCTCCCATCTCCTTCCACTGCTCTGGGCTGTGCTCCATTCCCTCTGAGATCCTGAATGTGACACAAGTTTTCACGGTGTTGCTGCATGTCAGCTATCTGCACTGACTTTGTTAGCTTGTGTCTGCATGGCTGATGGGCTGGGCGGGGTCACATTGCTTGCCATTAGGATCTGCCTCATTGCTGTGTTAGAGGTCATATTCTGTGACAGGTCTACTTGCAAGCCTGCATTCACTGTTGCTGCTCTCCGGCCACGCTGCTTGCTTTGGACTTCATTGTACAGTTTCTGCTTCCCTGTCCTGTACTGACATGTGTCACATTTTAGTCCCATTGACCAAGCCACTCCCCACTTGCTACTCTGCCTCTCTGTCCCTAACCACTGAGCCAGTGCACTTGGCCGTGTGCTCTGACAAGACTTTGTTGACCAGATTGACAATTTTTCTCCTGAAACCAACTTGTATTCATCATCTGGGGGTTGGGGCTGCATAGCTATTGGGGGGGCGGGGGGGGAGGGGAGGGCTGTCTACTGGACAAACTAAAATCTCTGGCTGGGCCCTCCTATGTCTTAGGGTAACAGGTTCATCAGGATTGCTGCTGAGGGTTGTTGATGGCCTGAGGTTGTTGATGGTGAAGAGGAGGCTGCCTGGTACAATTCTTGGCTGGGTCTGATGGGCTGTCTGATGGGCAGCGCGAGCACTGGCAGCGCGAGCCAGTTACTATAAGTTACTATAAGTAACTGGCTCGCGCTGCCAGTAATTACGCGGCGGGATATTCAGTGCACAGACCGTGATCATAAGACATGCCGCAAATAGAAAATAGAATTTAGAAAATAGACATTGCATGTGAACGAAGCCTAAATAGTTGAATAATTTTCCCAAATTTATTTATTTTTTTTCTTATTTATTTATTTATTTATTTTTACTAATTTAAATGATAACAATGATTAATTGAAGAATTGGTATAAAATCTGTAGGTACCATTGTGTGTATATAAAGAAGGGCTGTGTGATGATCCTCTTTAGCACAGAGTTCAAAGACCTAGATGATGTCAACACTGGAAAGGTGTTTATGCAGGTGAGTTATGAGTTCGTAAAAACATAAAGCATTGCCCTCTTTTTTATCACTTTGAAATTAGTTTAGAAGAATTCCTGCTTTAAAATGGCAATTCCATTGCACAGCCTTTAAATTGTCTTCAGTTATAGAAAAAGATCCAAAGAATGGAACTTCCGAGTTATTACCATTTTTTCTAAATGATGTACATTATTTCACTAGATGTCTGTCATGCCTACTGAACCTGCTTGGGGGGTAATTTATTATCATTTAGCAGGTTCAGTAGGTGTGTCAGACATCTAATTAATTAAGCCACTTAAGCTTAAAGCAATGAGCGAGAAACCCTTTGGAGATGGATCGATCCTGTTAGATTGATCTAAGTATATGGGAAGCCAGTCTTTATATTTGCTATGTCTAAAGGTTGGTGTACTAATAGATAACATTTTCTCCTATAACGTGAATTAATATTATATGAATCAATATTATATAACGTATTTGTTTTTTATGTAAATATGATGATGGTTTACTCAAACTGCCAGTGTTAATGAAGGGTTGTGTTCAGTTGAAAGATAAAAATATTGAAAGAGTACAGATACAGTAGTATTGATGACTGGCCAGAAACCAAAAAATAAGATTTGGAACAATGAAAAACAAAAATTCATTTCTATTATAGACAGACCATACCTGTTGAGGTGAAAATATTTGATTTTTTCAAAGAATTTACAATTCTTGTGTCACCTCTCTTGCCTATAGATTAATCTGCTTCATATAGTGAAGAAGATATTTGTTTGATGTGTGTATTTGTGTGTATATATTCTGATCTCTGTGAGCTCTCACAGACACCATAGGTCAACTTAGAGTGGTCCAACTCTGTGCCTGGACTCTCGCAAAGTGCAATCAGGTTAACTGAATAACACGCCTCTGCAGGCATTGAATAGAATACAAAATAGCTGCTGATTATATGGAAGTATGTTGGAAACAAGAGGAGGCATGTCATTTACTTAAACTGTTTGCACTCAGCAAGAGTCCCTGCAAATCTACTATCAATGTCAGATTTGTTTTTTAGTTGATTTTTCATTTCAGAATTTTATCACATTTCTTGTGGAAGTAGTGAGCAAGGACCAGAAATTGTTGGTGGTTACTGCGGCTCTGGACGTCAGCGTTGATCATCTGTACCTGTTGTCATGGAGATCAGGGTGACAGACATACTCCAGACCATATGGTACCACAGCTGACAGCTGAGGTAAAACTGCTCCCTGTGGTTTTATTTATTTATTTATTTATTTATCAAAACAACTTAAGACCTATATCAGCTGCAAATCCATCATCTGCATAGTGGACAATATAAAAAAGCGTCATGTTTTGCTTACTAAAATGATTCCTGCAGTTGGGTATTTAATATATTCTTAAACAATGTAATAATATCTTTATTTAAAGATATATTGATCAATTAAAGCAATGGATATCTTCTGAAAGAATATTGTGAAAATTTTCCAGATTCATCAACAGTAAAGCAGCCTGGGAGCCCACCTTCCTATCAGTATATGACAGCAAGGACAAATCTGGTTCAGTTCATCAAATACAAGTATTGACCAGTAGATTAACTTAGACCCATTCCCATACCTAGATCGATCTAGCAGGATCGACCCATCTCACTAAATTGCATTCAGATTATGCAGCTTAGATGTCTGGCACACCTACTAAACTTTACGTCAATCGAAATCAAGTGAAGTCTAATGCGTTTAATTCTTGAAAATAAAAGATAATATACATATCGTAACCTTTGATGTGGTGAAAAACTTGAAAACTGGATAAGGAAAGAAAAGGGAGCCAATGTTCAGATTTATGCATCAGATTTTATTTTCAGAAATGATGATAAAATAAATCTTATTTTTCAGGTAAAATAATACATTTACAGAAAATCAAAATATGGAGAGCATCCGTAATACAGGGACATCGAATGTTTTCTGAACTAAAAAATAATTATTTGCTTGTCTTTATATGTATTTATTTTATACAGTAGTTACACGCAATAAAGTGGCATGGTATGGTATACAGATATGTATGTATGCATATGTTTTTGAGAAATGTATATGTGAGAAGTGATTTGTATTGTACTCCACATTTTAATGCTTATTTCTTAAGTCTAAGTAAAGAAAATATATATTCTATTTCGCAAAATACATGTTTAATAATCCTTACGTAGAATACATTGATCATATGTTACTGAACATGTCAAACTACTGTCTTTAAGTTAGTAATTAAACTCATCACAGGCATCTGTAAGTAGCAGGAGAACGAGATCATGATGGGTAATTTAAACAAATCTGCAGATTGTTACTTTTCATGAAATTTGTATTTGCAACTTATTCGAAATAAACAAAATGTTTGCACACGCACTTGTAGAAAAGTGTATGACTACCAGGGTGGTATTACTGGGAAGTGGTTGAAGGGGGTAGAGAGTTCGAGGCCCATCTCGCCATGCCTATAACTAAGTGTACGTCTCTGTGGTTTAGGGGTACAGTGGTTGCCTGCTTCGCGGATTAGATTCCCGACACGTTTGGAAAACACGAGACCCGAGTTCTATCTTGAGAAATGTACATGTACTATTCTTAACATCATCTACTTTCCAGGGAAGAAATTTAAAGTTTACGGCAGCTGTGGACAATATGTCTACCTGGAGTCTGGGAACTACACTTGGTCTTATCTTGGTCGCGCAGCGACCTCTATTGTAGTCTTTGTTTGTTGGTGCGCTTTTCACCCGGCATGGCCGGAAACAACTTCATCTGACAAAATTAGCAAGGAAATTTTGAAAGAACTTAGGTGTTTATCCGACAGGGTAGAGAGATTAGAACAGGGAGCTTCATCGGACGGGCCCGATAGCGCAGATAAGCGCGTCTCTGTCCCCACAACTCAGTTTTCAAACTTGTGGGATTCGACAGACATCCAGAGGGAGTTCGACTCCATCAAAGACTCGGTACAATCGGTCAAAATACCGAAAGAACTTAAAGTAAGTGACTCCAAGTCAGGTATTAGAAGGGATGACCAATCGTCCTGTCATATTATTCAACGTTGTGCTCGATACGCGGAAACTACATTAAAACTGTTAACAAAAGTTCCCAATGAGGGCCCAATTTCAGAGGACATCTTGTCAGATATATATAAAACTCGAGTAGCTAATCTTCGTTTTTTACAAGAGGAGCATGCGTCCTTGATGGTCAAAGGCCAGTTTGGCCCACAAACCTCACAATTGTGGAGATCGCTACAAAAGAACACTTCAGCCTTTTCCGAGCAGTCACTGCAGACTCTGCAGAGTGCAGTGACCATTCAGGCTGCAGCTAGGCCACAGCAGCGTTATAACAGTGGCAGGGGCAATTACCAACCTTTTAATAGGAATAATCGTTCTGGAAGTTACGGTAATCATGATACCTTTGATTGATTTGCTAATAGGGAATTCCCTTCTAATAGGTCACAATCTGGGATCAATGCAAATCAAGGTGATTAAATGCCAAGTTTTTTGAAAGATTGTGTTTCTTTTTGGAGGCAGATTGGATGCCCTAGTCATGTTTTATCTTGGATTTGTGATGGTGTACAGCTGCCGTTTGCTTCTGAGCCACCTAATTGTATTCTATCAAACCATGTCAAGTCAGACAGACATTTATTTGACTTTGTGAATTCAGAGATTGAGCGATTATTGTCCACAGGTGCAGTCAGACATATTGACCACCAACCAAGGTGTGTGAACCCCATTAGTTGTGTTCCGAAGAAGAAGAATAAGCTTCGACTCATATGTGATTTACGTCATATCAATCAGTTTTGCCAAACTTCAACTTTTCGCTATGAGGATATATCATTGTTAAAGGATGTTATTCGCACTGGGGTTAACTGTCAACCATTGACCTTAAGGATGGTTTTCATAATGTGCCAGTTCATCCGGATTACCAGGAGTTTCTGGGTTTTCAGTGGAGTGGACACTTTTATGTTTGGCAGGCTCTCCCTTTTGGTTTGTCGGCGAGCCCATATTTTTTCTGCAAAACTTTACGCCCAGTGGTGGAGTATTTGAGACTACAAGGTGTTCGTTTGATTGCATACATGGATGATATTTTGATACTTGCTGATGCAGATACTATTGATAAGCATACCAAATTCTGTGTACATGTATTGGAATCAACTGGTTGGAATATTAACTATGAGAAGTCATTGTTGATTCCATCATCGAAAATTCAGTACATAGGTTACGTTATCGACTCTTGTGGTGACAGTGGGGTACCAGAATTAAAAGTACCAAAGCAGAGAATACGCAACTTGCGTAAAGACATTTATCGTTTGCTTGGCAGTCCAAACATCAAAGCCCGTTCATTAGCAAGAATCCCTGGGCAGTGTATATCGATGTGTAAAGTAGTATATCCGGGCAAGCTCATGTTACGTGGAGTATATCAGCTGTTAAAGCAACGGAATTCCTGGAATGATAGGCTTAATTGGTCCGTGGAAGCCCGCCAGGACTTAAATTGTTGGATCGAATCTTTAAAAGAATGGAACGGTGTAACCATTACGCCCCACCAGATAGATGGGCAACTGGAGACGGACGCCAGCCACATGGCTGGGGCGCTGTGTATCAGGGCAGACAAGCACAAGGACTTTGGAACGCAAGGGTGTCATTCAAGTCTTCCAATTACCGAGAACTTATAACAGTTCTGTTGGCTGTGATGTCATTCAGGGATCATCTCAAAGGAAAAGTGATTCAGTTGTTGTCAGACAATGTGACCGCAATTTTTTACTTAAATCACATGGGAGGCCCCAGTTTGAAGTTAACAAAGTTGGCGAAAGCAATATGGGCAGAATGCCTGGAAAACAATATAACATTGCTAGCACGTCACTTGCCAGGCAAAAGCAATGTAGCAGCAGATTATTTATCTCGGTTGACAAGCAAATTCGAATGGAAGTTACATCCTCACCTCTTTGGTTACATAGATCAGCTATGGGGTCCTCATACTTGCCACCGCTTTGCTTCAGTGCAAACAACACATCTGCCTTATTGTACCACCAGCGTTAGCGCTGGTGGTACACATGGTTTCGGTCCCATCCGGATCGTTCCGTTGGCTCCGCCGGCTCTGCCGGACGGCTACCGTTACCGCTTCTCCTCCTAGACGGTAAGGGCCCCCGTACCCATCTCATGGATTTAGGTCACCTATAATCTCAACTCGTTCCACGTAAAATTTGGGCTTTGTCGGTATTGGGGTCTGGGTGTGGCACTCATTGCAATGCACCCTTGTCTAAAAATAGCAAAATTAAATGCTAATTATCTACCCTACGGAAGGAGTTATGGGAAAAATTTCTATAGACGGCTTTCCAAAAGTCATATGTGTAGATTTCAAATATACCCTTGGATTTGACCTTTGACCTCTACTTCAAGGTCAAATGGGCCAAAATTTTCAAAAAAATGAAATTTTTTACGAAAAAAA